GTGGTTTGTAACAGATTTGCCACAGAGTGAAATATTTTTTCTTGATTGTCCGTTTGGCAACGGCCCGTGGTTTTTCTCCACTTGGGGAGTTTTCCACGTAAACTTATCGTGTTCTCTGTTAATTTCTCAGTCATTATTATCTTATTTTCTCATTTGTTCCTACTTGAAGGCCGATCCGAAGGGCCGGGAAATGGCGATATTTCCCCCAATACTATTATTCGAATTCAATAAATATTATCTGCACTTGTTTCGAACGAAACAATTTGCTGCTGTCAATTTTTCGCTGTCCAAATATGATGGAATTGTTTGGGATTTTTCGATTTTGCTCTATTAATATTCTTGGATTACTTGCTTCTGCCACATTGACCGCGTGGAAATTTTGGGTACTCTCTTCTGGGAAACTCTTCAAACTTGTTTTAAGCCTAATTTATAACGCTCACTAACTTAATCCAATGGGCTTGGTAGAGAGATAAATTTTTGTTAAAGCTATTTAAATGCTGTGTGATTTGGTTTTAATGAAACTGTTGACAAAGGGTAATTCAACCTGACTGTTTACACCTATAATGTGATTGTGAATTTGTTCTGGTAAAATCTGGAAAAACAACATTACTTTCGTATATTGAAAGAATGGTAAGAAAGGTTGCAAAGCCCCTAAATGTGGTGTCATCTTACTGCCTAATATGACAGCCTCATTACAATGACACATTTCGTTAGGCCACCGACAATAAAGTTACGAGAATAATTACGCAGTGGAAAAAGAGGAAATTGGGAAAATCACAGAAAATTTACCGTGGTTCACCCTCGAACTACTTTAGGGCTACGTCCCCGGACAAACCTCCAAATAATTCTTCACTATTAAATAAAAATAGTAAGTACAACAGAGAGTAAGACAAAAATAGTGGCACCAAAGTAAAACCTACCTTGTTGTCCCAAAACATGACCCAAAATAATTTCCTCCACTATTTTTCTCTCACCTAGTTTTAAGGCCAACCCCATCCCCTCACCACACTCACGCACAACCATTTCGTAGTAATGTTTTCTCTCACTTTCTGCTGTGCTGTAACATCCAATGAGCAAATGCCTCTCCTATTAATAGTAGAAGGTAAATGTGAGAGCCGTGTGTGATCACAGCGCAGCTCTCCATTTATGTCATGGTTGGTTGCCAACCTTTGAATAGTTGGCTAACAAACGTTTCACCTATTTTTCAAATAACACGTTTTTTTTGTTTTTTTTGTCTTTTCAAAAGCGTGTGGGTCCACATGGAAGGACGCCACAACAAATTCTCCCCTCCCGACGACATGGTGGGACTTTTATTTTTGCCGCTTCACACACAGCTCGAAACTTCTCCTTCTGCCTTAAGTTGTTGAAAATGCATACACATCTTCTGTATGCTTGACTGCCACGACACGGGCTCCCCTGCAAATGTGATTGATACTCTGAGAAATCCATTTTCACTGCAGTCCAATATTCCTTTTCCAGGATTTGAAAGAAAATCGACTTTCAACTACTCCATAACTGAGTAAGCCATATCTGGCCCGTGTACAATACCATGGCATACATCAAAGCTTTCCAACGCTGAAGCAGTATGAAACTTTGTCCATTTCTCCTTCTATCCATTCCGTAGAAGGGCAACTGTTTAGAACTCAATTTACAATGATCAGTAAGAGGACACTAAGCCGTTAACGTTTTCCTTTATTCTAAAACCTTGAATACTTTCTCAGCTTGTACTTCTCCTGTGACCATAATTTCTTGGCTCTTCAATCTTCATGCCAAAGAATTTGCTTTGCTGGTCCTAAGATCTTTCAAAGTTAAAAAACGACTTACATAGCTATTTCTTCAAGCTAGAATCTGACACATCGACATATCAACAATATAGAGCAAGAAACAATGTAGTCATTCATCAGAGAAATTTCTGCATAGAAACACAGTGATCTGAAAGTAAGCTTTTTGTCGTACCATGCTCCCCATAAATAACTCAAACTTTTGTAACCACTGTCTCAGTGCCTGCCTTCAAGCCGTACAGGCTCTTCTTCAGTTTTGAAACATAATTTTGCTTTTTTCTAAACGAAACCCTCTAGCGCTCCATGTACAAGTTTCTTCTTCAAATCTCCAATTTAAGGAAGGTAGTCTTTCCATCCATTGCTCGATTTCCATATCAAAACTGGCGACCCATTTCGAGCACTACCGAATGGATTCAATATTCAAACTAGTGAAAAGATCAAAACTCAATACCTTTTCTTTGATTGAAATCTTTCACAAGCCAGTGGTAGCTTGAATCGTGGTTGGGAGTTTGTGGTTCTTCCTGCTTTGATCCTGATAAACCTGCTTTAACCTGAACACCCACTCTGTTTTCTTTCAAAGCTTTCTTGCCTTATAGGCCAAACTTCACTCAGCGTCAAATGTTTTCCATCCTCATGCAAGGACTTCATTTCAATCTTGCTTGGCTCAATCCAGGTTCCCTCTTGTGTCTCATTTTACATAGCTTTCTTCAAGCCTTCAGGTTCTCACCCACGTCTGTCACAGTAAATAACTCATTGACTGGATAGTTCTACGTAGATGGTTTTCCAGACTCTACTAGATCTTCTTAATGTTTGAGAACGTTCCATGTGGTGGTTTGAATATGAACACCATTATTTGATCTAGTTTCATTTTCATTAGGAACTTCCTGGATTCTAACTGCACTTGTTCTTGTGGAACATTTTCTTCATATCCAATTCGTCTGCGTTCTATTGGAGGGACTCTCTGTATGTCTGTTAAGTCTTCATCAGATCTATTGGCACCCCACTTCAATATCTTCAATAGTTTGATCTTCAACAAATACAGCATCACGATTTCTTATAATCGTCTTTTGGACTGGGTCATAAAACTTATAGCCAAATTGGTCTTGGCCATAGCCAATGAATACACACTGTCGAGTCTTGACATCAAGCTTAGACCGTTCATCCTTCGGGACATGTACAAAGGCTTTGCAACCAAACACCCGCAAATGATCATAGGAAACATCCTTTCCTAATAAGAACAACATCTTTCTAACTCATACTCTCTCTGGAGTACTCATACTGTAGAGGGAAACAGAGTGCATCGAGCACGGCGAACTGCTATGAGTAACGCTTCACCCAATCTTTTACGACAACTTTGCAATGTGAGAGTAGACATACTGACTCTCTCCTCAAAAGTTTTATTGTTTCATCTCTCAGTCAAATTGCTTCGGTTGTGGCATCTTGGGAGGTGTCGGTTTGATGTCGAATGCCATGCTCTTTGTAGAAAGCATCAAATGGCCCAGTGTATTCTCCACCATTATCTGTCCTGATACACTTCAGCTTCTTGCCTGTCTTTCTCTCAACCAAGTTTAGAAGACTTCAGTGTGTATACCCAGCTCTTCCTAGAATGGTCATCGATAAATATCATAAAATATCGATTTCAACCATATGACATTGTCAATGGTCCACACAAATCTAAATTAATCAGATTTAATACATTCTTCATTCTAGAAGGAGGGGTAATCTTGAAAGCTACTCTGTTTTGCTTTCTTGCCATACAATCAGGACACTTGTCTAGGTAGGTGAACTTCATTCCAATCCAGGTAGTAACGTCTTCTTGCCAGAGTGTTTCTTAACTCATATTGGCGTAGTCGTTTATGCCGTAGTCGTTTATGCCACAATTCAATTGTACTGTCATTCTCCGCTACACTCAAAGTGTCTTAGGAGAGTTTCACATGCATCACGTACAGCTTTCGATCTTTAGCTACCATAAGGAGATCTCTCATTTCTCCATATATGGTAATACGCGTCATTCAGACTGATCATTTTGCTTATCCATTTTGACTTGCACAGAAAATTATCACCAACATAAACCGTATACGTGAATAGTAGTATACGTCAATAGTGACCATGAATAGTAATAGTATACTTGAATAGTAACTGTATGCATGAATAGTAAATGTACACGTAAATAGTACTATATGTGAATAATACATGTATGCGTGAATAGCAACAGTAACGCCAATAGTACTGTTCACCATCAACTCTGAGTTACTATTTTACTATTCATCACTAAGTCGATTCTGCAACGTCTTTCCGAGCGGACAGCACCAATGGATCGATTCTGCAACGTCTTTCCGAGCGGACAGCACCAATGGACTCGTCGTAATTTTCTCTTCGTCGTAGTATATTTATTTTCAATATATATTCACGGATCCGGTACCACTATCTGACCGGCTGGACCTGCCTAAACCTTCGGCTCTGATACCACTTGTTAGGGCACCGGCAATAAAGTTACGAGAATAATTACGCAGCGAAAAAATAAAAATGGGATACACAGAAGTTTACGTGGTTCACCCTAAACTGTTTAGGGCTAGTCCACGGGACAAACTCCAAATAATTCTTTCACTATTAAAAAAAATAATAGGTACACAAAGAGAGTAATACAAAAATAGTGGCACCCAAAGTGTTTCCGAAAAACACCCCAAAATAATTTCCTCACTATTTTTCTCTCACTATTTTTCTCTCCCCTAGTTTTAGGAAACCCATCCTAAAACTAGAAAACTCTCTCGCTACATTTTCTCTCGTTTCTGCTGTGTGTACATCAAATGAAGCAAATTCTCTCCTATTTATAGGAGAGGTAATTTGAGAGCTAATGTGAGAGTCGTGTGTGAGTCACACACGGCTCTCCATTTATGTCATGGTTGGTTGCCAACCTTTGAATAGTTGGCTGACAACTTTCACCTATTTCAAATAACACGTTTTTCCTTTTTTTTTTTTTAATTTTCAAAGCGTGTGGGTCCCACATGTCGGAGGGACCCACAATAACATTGGTTACTGAGGCATTAGAGCTCTTCTTGAAAATAAAGAACAAAGGTATCTTACCTAATGTTGTGACCTATAACACCTTAATCCGTGGTTTGTGTATGTCAAGCAGATGGAAGGAAGCTTTTATGTTGCTTAACCAAATGTTGAGAGCAAACGTCATTCCAAATTTAATTACCTTCAGTGCTTAACCAAATGTTGAGAGCAAACGTCATTCCAAATTTAATTACCTTCAGTACATTGGTTGATGGATTTTGTAAGGAAGGAAAGGTTTCAAAGGCCCATGGTGTAGTCAAATTGATGATGCAGAGAGGACTAGAGCCTAATGTCATCACCTACAATTCATTCATGGACGGATATTGTCTACACAACCAAGTGGATCAAGCTAAAAATACTTTTAACTTAATGGTAAGCAAGGGTTGTACACCTAATGTTTTTACCTACAACATCTTGATTCATTGTTACTGGAAGAGAAAAAGGATAGATGAGGCAATGCTGCTTTTTGATGAAATGCCTTGTAAAGGCTTGAGTCCTAACCATGGCTTGTGTAAAGCAAAGAGCCCTTGGGCTGCGCATAAGTTTTTCAAGGACATGTGTGCTATTGGCCATTCTCCAAATATTGTAACCTACTCAATTCTGATAGATGGCTTTTGTAAGCATAGCCGTCTTGATATAGCGTTTGATCTATTTTACGAAATGCAAAAGAACTTGTTGAAGCCTCACCTTATTATCTATAATACCCTGATTGATGGTATGTTCAAAAGTGGAAAGGTTAAAGATGCAAAGGAACTGTTTTCTAGACTTTCCATAGAAGGGTTATAAAGAAGGATTACTAGATGAAGCATTGAAGGTGTTCAAGAAAATGGACGAGAATGGTTGCTCTTATAACGTGATTATCCAAGGATATCTCCAAATCAAAGATTTATCAATGGCAAACAACTTATTGATGAAATGGTTGGCAGGGGGTTTTCTGCAGATGCCACTACCTTGGAGTTGGTAGTAAACGATGATGTGCTTGTGAAAAAGCTACTGAGCTGCTCCAAAAGTTCTCAAGGTGTAAAATTGAATTGAGATTTTAAGGCAGAACATTCATTATACAGTAACAACTGCAATTTAAAACTTAGAAGATGGTTGAATTGAGTATATTTGTATCAGACTTCTCTATAGCTGGCAACGTTAAATGTTTATATTTGCTTGTTTTCTTTTGAATTATAGGGCTGTGTTGAGATGAAAGGTATTGTTTGTTTTCACTTGTAAAATTTTCGAGCATCATCTCATCTAATTTGAAATTTTGGTTCCCTTATGCATCAGGTATATGAATATTAAAGAGATTTTATCTGGAAAGTTCAAACCATCAGGTATATGAATGTTAAAGCATAGAAAACGAATTATTCAGATATTAAATAGACTACAGTTAAAGATGCAAAAAACTAGAGTGCAGAAAGATAAAGGAGATGAAACTAAAACATTGTAGTGGTTCATATATATATTGTTTAAACCATCAGGTATTTCCGCTCAAATCAATATATATATATAAAGCAAGCATTGTTTCCTTAGAAAGTTGACATGTGGTGTATGCACTTGGCATTTTAATTTGAGATATGACATATTCCTCCAATTAAGCTTCCACTTGGCACGGTTTGATTTGATTATTTAATCTATTAATATGTTGATTTGGTTTGACTTTATTTTGAATTAGTCTTTTTGATTTGATTATTCAATATATTAATGTATTGGTTTGATTTTGGATTTATGTTGAGTTAGTGCTTTTTATTTAGTTTGACTTGATTATTTAGTGTATTAATGTATTGGTTTGATTTGAATTTATTTTGAATTAATATTTTTGGTTTAGTTTTATTTTATTATTTAATGTATTAATGGCCTTAAGTAATTATTATTAATTATTAATTTTTAAAAAATAATAAAGTTTAATAACAGTGAATTATTCAATTAATGTATTAATGAATATAGAGTTATAAGTGAATTATTCTAATTAATGTATTAATCAGTGAATTATTCAATTAATGTATTAATGTATTGCTTTATAACAAATGTTTACTCTCAAATTTGTGAAGTAACAAACGTTTCCTTTAACAACCATTTCCTATCTTTAATGTATTTTAATGTTTCCTATCTCAACGTTTCCGTTTTTTTTTTAATGGTGTAGTAATACATTTTTTTTAATACTATATATATAAGTTGTATCACTATATTTTTTTGTATTTTTGGCAAAGGTGTACTGGTCTCTGCTTTTAAATAAATTATTCGTTTTTTTTTTTAAAGTTTAGAATTTTCTAATGAGGTTAGTATTTCTTACTCAAACTTTTTTTTTTGTCTCCTTTTTTAAAAATTATTTAACATGGTTTTGCAGCGATATATATATATAAAGTAGGTAGAATTTTTCTTGGTGTTGCCATGTAGAATTCCAAATTAATAATAAGTGTATAACTTAATTGTTTGTTTTATAATTATTTAAAAATAAATTAATTTATGATTGAATTAAACCGCCTTAAATGTAATTAATTAATATAATGCTAGAGAATTAATAGCTTGTTAAGTAACAATTTATATAACTTTTAATGATATAAATAAATTTCATAATTTATAAATTTTTAATGATATGGACAGTTATTATTTTATATTAAAAAATTAAAAAAAAATTATTAAATTAAATTATGTTAAATATAATTGATTAATTATAGTATTAATAGCATGATAAGTGAAGATTTATACCACTTTTAATTATTTAAAATAAATTATTTATTCATAAATTTTAATGAAATAGCGAGTTAATTATTTTTTATATTAATTTTAAAATAAATCAAATTAATGAATTTTATTCATTTTACTTTTTTTATCTCTATAATTTCAATATTTTCGATCCATATTCCTGAACATATGTCTATCCACTAATTTTTACTTTAATAATAAAAAATCACGCTATATTTTTTTTATTATTGATATATTTTTATAATATTTTTTAATAGCATAATACCAAAAATATTCATTCAAAAACCTATACATATATATATATATTCTCTCAATTTTACTTTTTTTTAATTTTGCATAGCACGGGGATGTTACTAGTAATCCGAATATTTCTAATCAATATATATAAAGTAAGTATTTTTTTTTCTAAGAAGTTGATATGTGACATTTCTTGAATGAATGTTTTTCCTATACTCTTGCCACATAAGATTATTGGTGATGACACATAGGATTATAATGACACATAGGACTCTTAAATTTTGATAGTGTCATATAGAATTTAATTATTTGTTATGGTGTTATATAAATGATGACATTAATTATCATATTTAATACATATTAGTAAATAATTATAATTACTATAATATTGTAACTTATCTTTCTCAAATTCTATATTGGTAAGCTGTAGTCTTTCTCAATAAATTTATTCAATCATTTGTCTTTTTAAGGGATTGTCATTCCAATTTAGTCATTAGTATATTAATAAATGATTAAATGAATTAAAATTATTGACTAATAGTTATAACTATTGCTTATTAATAAATTAAATCGAATTAATTTTGGATGTTGATTGATCATATATAATGTATGATAATAACTTATCTGTTAAATTAATATATTATATTACTTGATATTCAATCCTGTATATTCAATCATTAGATGATCATTTTTTATATTAGTTATGAATGAAAGATTATAACTTATCTTTTAAATTAATATTATTATATTATTGATATTCAATCATTATAATCAATCATAATTATCATTTTTTATTATTATGAATGAAAATTTTATATTTAAAAGAATCAGGTTAATGGTGAAAATATTTATTAATAGTTTTATTAACAATGATATATATATATATATATATCCAAACGTTTCAATATTTGTTAATGAATCATTTTTTTTTTGTAATTTCAATAATTCTTATATAATTTCATATATTTTTTTCTCTTCTAATTTATATTACTCTATTAAATTAGGAAAAGTTTGATAAATCATAAAAGAAAGTGGTTTTGTATGAAATTATCATTAAAAATGATATATATACGTCTATGATTGAATTTCTATTGTCCATTTTATTTTATTTCTTTTATTATTTTTAATATCATCTAAGAAAATTTACTAATTGAAAAATAGATTAAAATCAATGATTTTTAATATTTTTTTTTTCAATTTTGTTATAGACATTAATTTTTATATAATTAGTGTAATATTTTGAATTTAAAACAGATGTTTTTAATTTAAATAATTTCCAACAAAATTAACAAATATGAAATTACAAATAATTTAAATTATAAATTTTTTTAACTAAATTGTATATTTTAAAATATTATCACAATATCTGGAAGATTATAGATAAAGATATTTATTTTGCATATCACAAGCATGCTGCTAGTTTCAATAAAAACAAAGAATATTTTTTAATTTCACTCAAGAAATTTTTGTTTGAAAAATTTTTTTAAATCAACAATCTTCCTGCGGGTTTCAAGGCTCACTTGTAACCTATTCCAAGTTTTAAAACTAGAAACCTGTCAAAAACTGACAAGCCACTCAAGCAACATAAACGATTTAAGGGAGCATAGATTTGACTTGATGCACAAATTCCTAATAATGTTCTGACTTTGGTGCCGCACTCTTGTCACTCTCTCATACTAACATTCAAGAGCGATGGTCTATTTATAGAGTTTCTTGATGTTATTCTGAAGGTTTTTCAGAAAGAAAGTAGAAATTTCGTTAAAAAGAAACATAATACAAATATGAAATACAAATATGAATCAGAATCACTTATACACAAAATAAAAATTTTTAGCGTGATTTGAGGGATTCAATCGAGTTTGTAGAGCAATAAAATTATGTCCTTGGCATAAGTACGCTCCGCTCTGTAGCAATTTACGACTATTGTTCGATTTATAGTTTTTTATAATTCCGATACATAACCTTCAAAGCTCTTCCATCTATTGGAGAATTATTGTAACACCCCTTCCCGGTCCACCCGTTAACCCGAATGAACCGAGCCGAGACGCTACAATCTGGTTGAACTTATATCCTGTCATGCTGAGCTTAATATCCTGGTCATGCTGAATATCGAATAGCTGTAAATGCAAATAGAATAAATCAGCACGCCAGTTACAGCTTCAAACTTTCCCAACATCTTCCAGAGATATCATGCATAACACAAATAACCTTGTATATTATAATATTCTTCACAATATATGGTATACATCCTCAAAAGTATTTAATATCTTAGCAACAGTTGAAATTTCTTTCAGTAATCTTACTATCAAGTTTTTTCAGTGACCTATCAAATACACTTATGGTCAACTATTTCATCTTCAGTTCATTGTCATAAATTATGTATTCATTACTCCAACCTACTTATCAGACCAAAAGTAAGATTAACCATGTTTCACTTATTATTTAACAATCACGATAAGCTGCTATAACATAAAGCAATTATACATGCCATATATCTGTAATACATCCATGAATCTTGAATTTATACATCTCTCATGCTATAATGACAAAATTAAGTCACTTTCTGCTTTGGATAGGACTCTCACTTCAAGTCTTCTAAGTAGCAATCCAAACGACTTTTCAGCTGCGCGTGATGAACAATCGACGGCGCTGAGATATTAAAATTCTCAGTGGTGCTCATAAGTCAATTACTAAACAAGAAGTGCGATGGGCAACTAACGTTCCAAATACCAATCAGTAGAAGGCATTGATAGCTCAGTGTAAATGCAGTAAATTTAACATGGAATGTCTCTTGTAGCAACGATATATAACTTCTAAATTCATAAACATACTTATCTGACTTCTCGTCATAAGCT